CACCAAAGTCGGAACCATAATGATATTCTGAATCTTTATCTTCAACTGCATCTGGATTATATCCACGTCTTTGATATCCACCTCCTCTTCTATGTTTGTATCTCCCTCTGCTTCTTATACTTCTACGACTACTTTCACTTCCAACCGGGGAGGACGCTCTTGATGCTGTTGGTGTACTTGTCTGAGAGTTCGGAGTCTCTGAACCTCTGTTTTCACGATTCAGCAGGTATTTTGGCTTCTTCATTAGATGATATTGAAACTTTCGTGGTCTTTCCATAACCACCGATTTGGGCGGCCTCCCACGTCTCTTTGTACCTCTTGCTGACATTTTGGCTTATGGTACGTCAATCACTGAAGCCTATTCAGCACGTGGTTTATGAAAACACACTATTGTATACAAATACAAATGACACAACACCACAGAAATGGAGCCCATGTTTGCACTCTGAGCTTTGCGCCATTTTTCCGCGGACGTCACGTGACCACGCACAGAAATTGCATTTTTGCATTTGCGCCTGTAAGGAACACTCTTAGCACTACGCACACCTACTTAAGTTCCACTTTCTAACATCATAAAGCTAATAAATCATCCATAGGGGTACAACAAACACAAATTATTTCACTGACGCGAAATGTACGGTGAAGTGAGAATATCCCACGTCCTTTCAAATCCGTTTCGTGATTGGTGCAACGTAACGCCGCCATGACGACTCCGAATTTTGTTTCGTTTTCAGAACCATTTATTCGCACTCTCTATTAACTGCTATGCAATTGAAAACTTAAGTTTTATTGATTCATACTACAAATCGGAACCAATTACATTTTCATGCATAGGTTTACAGGTTGAAATAACTGCTTGGAGCAAGACAAAATTTTGCATCTAGCCAATCCAAATGCTTGTAACGAAAACTTCCTTACACATACACTACAGAGGGCACCATTGATCTTATGCCATTGATGATCAAACACATAGATTACAGACACCAACAAAACTCCCACCAAGCAACAAGAGTTGTCCTATTGAGACAATGTTAGTTACGTACCGTTTACAGAAAATGTTGAAAACCTGTATAATATTGTACACACAAGTATATAAAAAATTAATTAATTTGAGAGGCTATTACTTTGGCAACAAAGACTAAGGTTATCACAATGTATTTTTTAACTGGTACCAACGATTCTAAAAACTGTATCATCAACGGTTACTCAAGATGGCAGTGTAAAGAACAAAATCGAAGGAAATTGACGAACGACCGCGTGGCAGTTTGCACAGGGAAGTGTAATCAAAACATTTGGACAGCAAATCAAACGGGAAAAGTAAAAATAAAATGAACGGTCCTAATACCATGTATCGAATGCGACCTATTATAAAATTAACAGAGGAGCTAGAGCTTCCTAAATGTATGTACAGAATGAAAAATATTCAGCAAGCGTATCTGAACAACCGTTTGGAACACCAGTTATCTAATGAAACCAGACCAACAAGTATTTCGGAACAGGTTAAGAAGTTTTTGAAGGTTTATTGACTTTAAATAACTCTTTATTGTCATGCTTTATTTCATTTTTGGAACTGTGTTTTGTAGTTTTCGCACAACTAACGTCTCGGAGTGAGACAATTTTTTTTTTCAATAACGAATATCGGTTCGTTCATCACGACTTTCTTGATGCTTTTCCAGTTTTGTTTAGTTATGCCTTCAATTAAATTTTATTGTAAGATGCACAGTAAGTTCAAATGTAACGTAATATGAAAGCCTAGCATAATTACATGCAGTTAATGCTGTATACATATAAATTACTTACAGACTCCAAATTCCTGCCGGTTGTAATTTCTTTGGCTCTTCCATGCTAAGTTAACAGCCAACTAATCAAGATCAAATATGTCCGCCCAATATTTCTATAATAAGGTCATTGATATATATGTTCCATAGACATATGTTATATTGAAGCTCTCTTGTCAAGTCACCAGTTGAACTAAAGTCTGACAGTAAGTTTTGAGTGCTAAGTATATATTAATACATGTCACATAAGTAGTAACTTCTAACCTGATAAAGAGAACATTTGTGCAAGTTTTATTCTCAAAAGCTAATATCAGGCTGTTTTCCTATAAATTTATTTTTTACACTTAATTTCACTTATTTTTAGTTATTCAATGAAGCTACTTATTTGAGTCACAGGTTCTTAATATTGTTGCTACAAATTGTGTTTACTTTATTTTAGTGCCCATTACCTGAAATGACTGCCCTGGAAAACCGACAAGAAGCTATTTTGGCGCAGTTGGCCGATTTGAAGAATCAAATCACAGCTCTTAGAGGACAATTAAAGCAATCCGCTGCGCCTCCTGCTGTAAAAGAAACCAATATTTCAAGGAGTAGAACATGCAATATCTTACAGGTACAGAATTGTAATGTATTTTCATCATAAAGGAATAGGTATTATGTTGTGTTAGAATATAAATGCAATTTCTGTTTCTGTTCTCAGAACGGAGTGATTCATGATATCGTAATAAATGCCAGCCCCAAGTATCCACCGTATTCCCTTGTGGCTTTACGAAGGTTATGGGGCGACAGCTTGAAGTTGGGAGTTCGCTGTCATATTCACTCAAGTGTGCTCCAGTTACCAACAAACCTTGAGAATTTCTTGTCTGTTATATCTGATGATTGTGATCAAGAGAGATCATCACTGTTAAATATCACTCTAGTCTGGAAGGATGGTAATTAAGTAGTTTCATTGAGTTAGGTTAAATTTGTTTTATGTGCACTGCATAATTTTGAATTGATTACAATATTTTATTTACAAAGTTGTTTATAATGTGCCTTACCACTTGCAGTCGGACCTGATACAGAGCTAGTGGTATCTCCCATGAAACATATTACCATCAAGGGTGAAGTAAACATTCTTCGATATTTAAGCCGCCTTGGTCCTCCAAGATACAACTATGAACTAAGTAATGATCCTGCAGTGTCATCTAGATTGGACAGCTTACTCGATACTTGCTACAGTCTGGCACGGTGTAGGACAGTCAAGGAACGGCAGTCGTTAATTCATTCACTGAATTGCTGCCTAGGAAAATCACAGTTCATGGCAGGAGGGGACGGGATTTCAATCGCAGATATAGCGGTATGGTCAGTCTTCAGGCAGATAAAAGTGGAACCGCTGCAAGATCTGAGTGGTGCCATGAAAAACTGGCTACAGCACTGTTCTCAGTCGCTTAAGCTTGGTAAGGATTTTATTCCATATTACATTTGAGATTTAAAGTTGCACTACAATGAAGATGCTGATTGTATGGTCTTTTGGGTTATGATGCTGTGTAGTACTGTAGGTTGTTTAGAGGATTGTACCACGTCCATCTTTGACAATGTCTGCCCCAAAAATGGAGGTCATGTATTTCTCCAGAACATACAAGACTTTGTGGCATCATAACAGAGAACATCACTCAGCCTCACTTAACATAGATATTCTTTTGCATTTACAGCACTGGTATGTGAAACATTAATACAATGTTTTTTTAAACTTCTCCTCATTTAGATTCCTAACTTCATGACGGCGGTTGGTGGGATGCATCTATGGAACATCGCTGAAACAAAGAGTATTACATGTGATGCGTGGAAGTCTTCCATTCTACATTGTAAAAATATTGTGATAATGGAATATTAATGGTGGAAAAGAAAAAAAATACAATTCTAAAAAAAATATTTCAGTGTTTATTTCCCTTTCCTGTGGCTGTGAATAAATGTGTCTAATAATCCCAATAAATAAGCAAAATCTAAGGTGAGAGAGAATTTATTTTCCTATCATCTCTATCAAATGGGAAGAGGATCATGAACTTCCGTACTACTTTAGCATGAAATATATGAAGTTCATTCATGGGAAGTTGTGTAATTAGGTCATTAAGACCTTTGAAGGTTGTCTAGGAAAATGTAACATATGAGAATTTTCTGTGAAAATTGATATGTCTATAATGTATGAAAACTTTTAAGTGGTGTTGCTGTTTAGCATACATTGTGGTATATTAATGGTAAGGTATGACATTCATATGGAATATAAATGGAAATTTTGGTCTGATAACCTGAAGAGAGATCTAGGTGTACATGGGAGGATGATATTAAAAATGATTTGGATAAGGTATGGTGGCAAGGCTCTTGTGAACATGGTAATGGTTCTGTAATGGCAGGGGACTTCCCAATGTTTGACTTCTAATTTGTAATGCTTTATGGACTTGTATGTAGATACCTACATTTTGGAGGTGAACATGTTCTCCATCTTCAGGGTAGAAGTGATATTAGGAATTGGGTCATTTGTGGAGGGTTAGGAAAGGGACCAGACCGAGACTGGCCAACCAAAGTCAAGGAATGAGGAGATGATGATGGTCTAGACCAACAGAAAACCAGACACATGAAATGTGGCCCTTTAATGGGCTAAAGAGGTGGAATCATGGGGAAGTATGATAGGGACTTTCTTGACAAGCTGATGAACAGTTGACTACCGAAGATGTACTCTGCTCCAACCTGTTAAGAAGTCCTGGATTCCTATTGATGTTTGGCCTAACTTAGGGCACTACCCCAGCAGTTGTCTGGAGGGACTATTCAAAAGCAGAAGTGCTAACAGTTCACGACATTCAGTTGGCAAAGTGTGTTATATATAATAAAATGGCACAGTATTGCTTAGTATGTCCAAAAATGTAGTGACCAAGCTATTTTTCATTCCAAATGATTGTTACTACTGAACACTAAAGATGCAAAGACACAGAGCAACCTTTGTAACAGGGAAGGATATAATGTAATGGTTATACGACAGGCAACAAATTACTAGAACATCACCTACAGAGCACGACTTTCCAAGCCAGATTTTTTTTAAAGGATTTCTCCACAGATGAACAGTACTCTTTGACAGAGAAGAAACTTCATTTTCATGGTCAATAACAGACTCATTCCACAGCAAACCATCACTTAAATAAGCATACACAGGTTTGCAGAGACCACTCAACAGACGTGGCATAACCATTAGCTTCGTGACTGTGGACAGCCATCTTTCAAACATTCAACAGATGCAGTAATACCTGAGATTCTCAGGTAGTGAAGATGATGTTACTACTCAGAAGACCAACATTGATAGTTAACATTTATGGCCTGAAACTATGAATTAGTATATAACTGGCCTCTAACTAAAATCTTTGTTTCTCATATGAATGCCATCTTTCTTGGTGAATCTTACCAAATTTTGCTTCGAAATCATACAGAAAACCAAAACTTCTGGTAGTCTGAAATTTTTTCCTTGTATCTACTACAAGTATAATGATGACATTGCTTCATGTCTTTACCATCGCAAGAAATCAGCAGTGTACTTACACTCACCTGGAATAAAAAAATAATAAGTCATTAGATGTTTTAACATTCTGAAACATGGAAAACAACGGAGCTCAACACTTGGCTGTATGAAGCATAGTGAAACACAGGAGAAAATTCTCTGGACAGAACAGGAAGACTATTCAGTGAATATAGGCAGCTGGTGGTGAACTACACAAAAGGTAAATTTGACATTAACAGGGATCTTGAAATGAATATCTAACAATAATATCTCCAGATCAGTTTACTATTTAAACTTCAGAGAGTAATTACTTTTAACTGCATTGCACATGATCAGAATACTTTAAAGTATATATAATTATTACTTTAAATGGCAGTGGTTTTAAAACAGTACAAATTACATGATACAGATCCATTCCAAAGAATGTTTCTGCTTGTGACCATTAATAAATAAATTTTTACAGAATCTGCACATTTCCATAAACATAGCACGGAGCCAAGCAAAATTAAATTAATTATAGGTCCAGATATTGTAACAAACCAGGAATTTTGCCACATTTTACTCAAAATAATTTAAAAGTATATTAAAAGATTCAAATGACTTGCAGTAACAATGAAACCAAGACCTCATGATGGTACTTGAAAGAAAGGTTATTATCAGTGGTACGAGTTTAAATACTGTGTATTTATGCAAATGTAAAGATTATGCATGTCTAAGGCACAGTCATCATAACAACAAATTTCCCTCACAACTCTGAGCAACATAACTGATGAAAAGTTGAAAATTACCTGTTCATAATGTGATGCTGTTTGTTTATCCATAAAGATACAAATTGTGTACAAGACACAGACACCAACTTCAATATTTCAAACACAACATTTATGGCAACATAAACATTACTTCAAGAAATAGGCTGCACAGTTTTGCACACTGTCACTTCAAATGATGGATTTTTATAAATTACAATCTGATCACTCTTACTTATACATATTTCTCAATTACGCTAATGAAGTAAGAAGTGACTGTGAATTACGACATGATATATACAGTGTCACGTATTCTAACCTTTAACTTAAAATACAGTTATATATAGAACAGTCCACTTCAGTACAAGCATAATGAAATACACTTGACATATTCAATGTCATCTTTCAACTTCTTGCTAAAGATACAAAAATATACAATCAGTCAGACATTAAGTAATAATCTGTTGTGTAAGATGGACAAAAACAACATAAGTAGAATTTGTGGTTCTCGTGGTGACCACAAAGATGGCTGTCTTCTAGGTTACAACACTCTGGAGTCTGGTAGACGTTTACTGCTTCGAATGTCTTTGCTGTCTCCGTCATCAGTCTGATGATGGAGGCAGCAAAGGCCTCTGAAACGATGATAACCTTGGTAAACCTATACCAGACTACACAAAGCTACACCCAGAAGACAGCCAAGATAATAATAACATATGCAGTCAGTCAGTATAATAATGATCTTGCTCATACTTAACGTTGTCTATGTAATGAACATTTTTGTGCAATGTTTCACATATATAAAATAATTAAATGGAATAAGTTCCCTGTCGTTGGTAGAACACCAAACCCGGATGCACTGAAGCCTCCAATTACAGCTGGTGATTCAGGGGATGAAGTTCTTATTATCTGACTCACGTGGCTATAAATATGGCAAGAAGCAGACATCCCCTGAGCCCCTCCACACAGTCGATTACCTAAAATGACGTACATAATGGAAATCTACCTACAACAGACACACTATACAAAAATACAGGCATGGTGAGATTTCAGGTTCTCACAATGACAAGTGTGAAGACAGCTGTCTTCTGGGATGTTGCATTGTGTTGTCTGGTAGAATTTGATCATCGCCCTGATGATGGAGGCAGCAAGGACCTCTGAAACGTCAGTAAACTTATACCCGACTATACAGCACAACGTCCCAGAAGGATACCGTCGTCAAAATTAGAGGCATCTTAAAAACACGTATCTATTTTAAGTATCACAGACTGGCGAGCGACAGTAGAACATAGTTATGGCAAACGTCTACTCTGGCTCACATTTTGATCCTCATTGGCTCTGATCTAAGTATGTGTTACTTAGTTTTGGTGACTATAAAAATAATACTTAGGTGTCCTGTCACCTAATGTTTATAGGAATCTGAAACAGAATTGTGTAGTGGATGGAATTTGAGAGTTTGACATTCTTTTTATCACAATATTCTTCCAAACATCTGTCACTTCTCTCTCACAGTCTGCCATCTCAGTCTTATAGACGCTGTAGCCATAGAAAACATCGGGCTCCTTTACAGCCGAACTGTGACCACGGCACTATCATACAAATGAAGAGAAACCTGGAAGAGGAGCTCGTGATCTTGCCATGTTATTCATAATGATCTGCCCTCCGTTGAGACTCATCACAGCACTGCCCTCTGGCTCTGAGTCTGTATAACTTGAATAATTGCGCACAGGCTTCTGACGTTTCCATGACTGCCGTAATGAATCATTGACATTGGCGTAATGATTTACAAATGAATGAGGATCTGAACGTTCACTTTCATTCTCACTTTCTGAACCCTGAAAAATGTAAGGAACAAGAGTATAAAAACAAATGTTATCATTTGCTTGAGTAGTCAAATTAAAGTCTACAAATACAGACACAGAAAAATTAATGTTTGCATCCACACTGTGAACTTATTACAGAAAATTAAAATGACAATAATGTTTAGACACTGGGCTCTCGTGAACATGGTAATGAACATTTGGGTTCCATAAAAGGTAGGGAATTTGTTGACTGGCTGAGCAATTATAAACTTCTCAAGGACTATGTTCTATGGTGCAGGATGGTTTGTTTTTATATAAAATACCTGAGAGTCTGTTGAGCTAATCTCTGAAGGCTTCTCAGTGACGCTACTATCATCAGGATTCTCATCATAACCCTTCAGACTCTCCTCATCACTATGGTATGCAACAGAGGCTGGAGAAGGGCGTGGGGGTGATTTGCCAAGCATAGGAGGACCTGGCGGCTGGTGGTGACCCAAAGATTTGCGCCCCAGAGTGCTGCGCTTCCCTAACGTTCCACAGCCCCCCGCATTCATAACCGGGGCTCCTGCCCTACGAGAACGGTACAACTCCAGTGCCAGCTCCTGTCTGTCATCAATATCCATCGCCATTGACTCCTCTAATGTCTTCTGTGCTTCTTCTGTGATACCAACATAAAAACATTAAATTATTGAATAAGAAACTTTCTCCTTCAGTACCTTCATAAGCCAATAGATGTACTAACAAAATGTGTGAAATGAAAAAGGTCCATAGCAGAGATAATTACATAACAATCATAACAACTGCCACATTTAATAAACAGTTCATAATAATAACTGCATTACAGGCAGAGTAATAATTTGAAGATGGTTGTCTTCCGGGTTGTTGCACCGTGTAGCATGGTAGAAGTGTACCGACTTTTCAGAGGTCCTTGCTGCCTCAGTCATCACCCTGATCTTGCAGCCGAGACCTCCGAAATGTAGGTAAACTTCTAGCATACCACACAGTGCAATAACCCAGAAGACAACCAATCTTCAAACTCACTGCCATGAAAACCTCAAACACTAAAGAGCGATGGCTTACACAGTATGAGGTGACAGATTTTTATCACAACTGGTGAAGGATGCATCATTTATAATTTAGTTCAATTAATGTCAGGTCTTTGGACTAATTCATTATGCACTAAAACAGGATAATTAATTATACATGGTACAGATCAGTGATGAAAAGTAAATGTTATAATGTGGATACAAGTATGTAACATAATAATATTAAAGATAAGCAGAAAGCTTTATCATGTCTCTTAACATCACATTAACCTTCTGCAACCCACAATCCAGTCCATGTGTGGACTGAATCCTACAGAACAATGGACTGCAAGACTCGTTTAAAAGAAGAAGAAACATCACAAAAAAATTACTCACGTTTATATTTATAGCTTTTGCTCTTTACACACAAAACAGCAATAATCATGATGATTATAATGATTGATCCAGCTGCTAATGCTACCATAAACCATGTCTGACGGTAAAATGGCTTCTGTTGAAGGTAACCATACTCTAGATACAGCTTGGATGGTGTAAGAACCTAGAGGAATGAAAGAATATTTACTGGCCACAAACAAGCACAAATGGACATTAGGATTTTCAATTTCTTTCTTCACAGATGCATAGTAGAAGCTACTGAAACCTGTGAGTTTGCCAACACCGCACACTGATGACCAGACTATGTCAATTTCTTACTGGAAAAATTTCAAGTTTTCTGAATAAGGCATAAAAACTGTGAGCCAGTTTGATTCTGTAACCCACATGAAAATTTTGTTTCTCATACATCAGATTTACTAGTGTATTAGGGTCTTTGTTATACCCCACTATCTCCAAAATAAGAAAAGCTTTAACAACAGTTTCACAATGCAAAGAGATTAATTCTGATACAGTTGTCAAGTCAGAATCTCTGCTTGCTTACCAAACCTTCATACATAACATTACCAATGTACACACAAAAAAATTCTTAATACTTCCAAATTTCAAGGTACGAGCACAAATTTTCTAAATAGGCTGCCAGGTCATACTGCTGTAGTTAGTATATTTTCCACTGCAAGACGATGGCAGGGTACAGTCTGCTAAAGCATTTCGTATTCATTTCAAAACCAAAGGATGTGTCATTTAGATATGATGAAGTAAGGTTATGTGTAGTGGTGCAAGTAATTTTTGATTTTAATAGCGTGATACTTTAAACAAGCCCTTTAAAGCAGACAAAACAGTTATGGAAATATACAACATATTAAAATATGACTTTCAAAGGGATGAAGAGAGCTTGAACTTTTGAGTGGTTTACAAAGTTCAGAAGTGGAATGACCTCCAATGAAGATGCTGAACATTTAAGACATTTTTTTTACATTAATCAAAATTTTCAACAGCAATTTGCATTGCATAGCCAAACTCGGGGGGGACGAGGGGACAGCATGAAACAGGAGCAAAATACCTTACTCATACAGAAAAGTATTCAGTCCATAAATTTGTTGTTCACACCCCACACATAAAATAAATACATTTCTGATATTATATGATGTTAACAATGATGCATCCGTTTATTGCAAAAGTATTTACCGCATCATCAGAATATGCTGGATAGCTGATACCATATTTGTTGTACGCAATAACACGGAAAGTGTAAGACGTAGATGGTAGGAGGTTCTGGTACGACACAGTGAACTCCTCCAAGAGACCGTTGTTGGTTCGTGTCACTATCTGCCATCTAGTGTCATCTGGAAGAGGGAGAGAATCGAAACGTTATGTGACCTGAGGTTAACAAGGCATTGAAAATGCCAGGTGTGATCTTCTGGGTGTAATATGCATTTAATAATGTGTGATAATTTTTGAATTCAAGCACAGTGAATCAAGTCTACAGCGATGACCGACATAAAATTAGAGAATGCAAAAGGTTAATATGCACTGAATCCTACTGTTCCTGGTTACACAAAACATTTTTCTTTAGTGTTCACACATTTCTAATTAACAACTACACAATTTACATTTTATAAAAGTGTTTACAGCTGCTACAAAGGCACAGAACATACTATTATCTACTCTAAATAATGTGTGGTTGTTTCCTGCTTCAGCAGAAATGCACTGTGGTGCAAATACTACATAAGATATGCAAAATAAGAAATCTAACCATGTGCCAAAATTAAGAAACAGAAAATATTCTGTGAAATTGGTTGTAATTATTCAGACATTTGTAAACTTAATACTCTATAATTTATTTACACTTCCCCTAGCAAATCATTATGAAAAAATAATTTACAGAGCACTATTTGTTACCATGAAACACGCCAAAGCACAAGTTTCTTTCATAAGCATCTCCCTACTAATTTTGGCGACCGACAGCAATTTCAAAACCTGCAATCAATACTCATTGCTAAAGTGACATCATATAGACATCTTTCATTTTAAATTTACCACAATCATGTAAGTGAAAACACTGATATTTACATTTTCATGCAACGCTATCAAAACGGAGTTTGTAAAACACATATAGTCTATTCACTAAAATAACACATACCAATACAAAATGCATGCTTTCTTTTCATGTATCAGAACTTATCACTTATGATAACAATATTCTAAATTTTCGGAAGAATACGTGATTCTATTTATGTGTTCTTATTCTTCAGGTATGCATAGACCTAAGAGGATCCTTGAAAGATAGGTTCTTCACCAATTACTGGAGCAGTGAACATTAAGTAGACACGTGATCAGACTATGACAGAATATGATAAATTGTTAGTGATACACGGTGAAAATACCATTCCCCAGCAGCATTCAAACCCGTAATCCTATATCTGACTCATGACCATGGGACGCTGTACTTTGACAACACCTTAAATCAATCACAGGTTTTGATATCACTGATAACATTCTACATAGAGCTTAAACATAGCAGACAGTCTACACAAGTGACCAAAGACACTTACAGAGTTGCCAGTCTTCTAAAGCTGTTAGGACAGAAAATGTTTTGTAATAGTAAAATATGAAACTGTTATTACTTACTGTAATGCTAATATAATTAACCTGTCCAGCGGCAATCACAAAACATTATGGTTAGTGTATCTTGAATCTAAATGGTTAAGATAAAACATCTCATCATGAGATATTGTTAAGTATGAACCGCAGTTTGCACTTCATCAACGTTAGTAACCATATAACTGAAGCTGTTACCTTTTCTTTTACTCTGGATGTAATAACCAAGAATAGCCCCTTTTCCGGAAGGACCATTTTTCCAGCGCATGTCAACGCTGGACACAGACTTGCTCATCGCAAGATCTTTCGGTTTTGCGGGAGAACCGTCCTGTGGGCCTGTCGTCACATTTTCAGTAACTGCTGGCCCATAATCGATCGTTAATGCACGCACAGAGAATGTGTACGTCACTTCCTCTTCAAGAGTCTGTACAAGCAGACTAGTACCAGTCACTTTTTGTTTCACCTGTTTGCTAAAACCTGATAAAGAAACACACCTGCATATTAGTTTAATGAAAACCAGATACCATACACCAGCATTATACTAAAAACATATGTGACGAAAGCAATAAATATAACCTTAATCTGAACGTTAGTTAGCGACAACTTAAAAAGTATACAGCACTGTCAATTTCAAGGTTAATCTGGAATTATATTTCTGATACCAAAATCTGAAAAGCATTAAAAAGAAGGCACCTGCAAAAGTTTCATCATTACACATTACAAAAATAAAAATAAGAACATGACTGCTCTGTGTTATGACGAACCTAGACTACATGAATAGACCAACAGAAGCTAATCAAACCTACAATTTTTTAGAGACAAATATGTAAGTAATGTTTCTGTGAAAACCTCTAAAAGGCCACTATTGTTCCTTAAACATAATAAATATATATAGACAGTATAAAGTTAATTGGAAAATACATCAACAGACAATTCGGCTGAAAGCATTTTTAAAAAAGTCTGCTGCTTACCAGGATACGGAAAGAATAAAACAAATGATAAATACACATCATTATCATTGTTACTTATTCATGAATATTTCTTTACTTACGTTCATTTTGTTTGGCTGTTTCGTAACTAACGATGTAGCCGACTATTTCTCCATTTGGTTTCTTAGGTCGATCCCAAGACACAATCAGACCGCTCATTGTGATGTCAGAAAACCTCAGATTACTCGGAGGACCAGGTAAGCCCTGATGACAGAACAGTTTCACTGATTTCTATCCAAAATGACATCAGTCCAGTTCATACCCTGTCATAATTGTTTAATATCCATCTGACAAGTGCTCTTTTCTCTTCAGATTTTCTGAATAAAATTCTACACGTATTTCTCATCTCTCCCACGCATGCACACACATCTCACCCATCTCATTTTAATAATACAATGACTCAAACCAATCACCAGTATACTTGTATAATCCATGTGGATCGCCATTTCCGCACTTCTATGGGCATTATTAATTCCTCCGAGTCATTCGACAGTAAAGGGTGAATCTGGTTCCTAGCAGCACTGGTTAGCATACCTGTAAAGTCTTGATTGTTATGGGCGTAGACCTGGGGCCATCACCTGCCGGGTTAAACGCCAGTATCTGGATATGATATTCAGTGAATTTATCCAGGAACACCAGGTTGTGTGAATTATAAGAGGCTGGAACCACTTCCAGCTCTTCTTCAAGATGAGTATCTTCCTCATCCAGGGGTGAGTATGTAACGAGGTAAAAGATCTGTCACATGAAACACAAAGTTAATTAGAATATGAAAAGGTGCATCACATTTAACACATGATATTCTCTGCCATCACTCTACATTAAAACAAATATTAAATTATAGTGTGGGCTGGATTCATTTGTCTCAAGATGGTGGTGGTAATGAATCTTCATGTTTCACACGAAGTGGGTGTTTCCTGACCAGCTGAGAGATTATCAGCATCGTTAGAACTACGTGAAGTTAGTTAAATAAGAACTGGTCTTAAATTCTGTCCACATAAGAACAGATACATAATTAGGTTTTTGTGAATATGGTGATGAACCTTTGGGTTCCATAAGGAACGCAGGCTTTTGTTTGATAAGCTGAGTATACAATCGACTTTACAAAGAATTTCCTGCGCCATACAGCGAGTGGGTGACGGGGGGGGGATGCAGTAATACAATGAGCGCCCCCAAACCAAATTAAATTCCAGGTGAATGTATACATTTATTTACCTTGTAACCCAAGAGGTCGCCATTCTGCTGGCTCTGCTGTGGAGGCTTCCAATGCAGCCTCACCTCTGTGGACGAAACGGCTTCCCCTTCTACCGCTCGTGGTTCTCCTGTTGGCACAGCTTCACCCACGTACACTGCTGCAGGAGGGCTAGATGGTCCAGAACCTTGAGAGTTGAATGGGACAACCACAATGTCGTAGTTACAGTTGCGAGTCAGGTCCTTCAACACAACCTGGTTGGCCTGTTTTGTAACATTACAAACATGTGACCATCATTTTCTGAATATTACACATGTCCACACACAGTTTAATCACTAAATTAAAATGCTAAAATCTTTCAAAAAACATTAAAATGTCAAACCTTCTTACAAAATGTTGCAGTTATTTTTTTTATTACATAATTATGGTTACGTTTCAACGCTCTGTGTCCTGCATCTGTTCTGTGGATACACATCTGTACCGTCTCTATTGTTCTCATTTGTCCTAACATTAATGTCCAGTATTTGGAAGATATGGCGGTGCTGACCATGGTATACCAAGAGCTCACCTCAGTACCCATCACATCCTCTTTGGGTGTAGATTGAACTGCTGTAGGGAACTTTTCAGAGCGATATTCAACCCGATATCCTCCTGTCTCGTGGTCACCACTCCAGTAAATCTTCTCTACGGCATCCCACTCTACCCTCACACTGGTTGTTGTGATTGGCACCACCTTGAGGCCAGTCACGCCTCTGCTCGGAGCTGCACAGTACAAGCAGCATTTCAGTTATTTGTGAGAAGTACGTTGTAGTTCCGCTATGGTGAAATCAGAAGGCCAACATTTCAAATCTTAGCAGCTAAAAGCAGTAGCTGCTGGGATTCTTTGATAGACGTAATGCTACCTAAAACTCATACGATCTCAGACTGCATGAAGAAACCTCTAATTACGATAATCACGTAGTTCTAAATGTTCTATCAACTACTTTCACAGCTGCTTCCTTTGAAGTTCCTCTGCTTCAACCCAGGGATTAGGCAACTTGCCTATTTCGTCTCCCCATAGTTCAGTGTTACACAGAATAACGTATAAAAGCTGGAACTGATTCATCATTTTGTACACACGTGGCTTAAAATCTCCAATAGTAATCCTAGACTTAATACATGAACAGAACTATATCCGACAGCGAAAGAAGAAAATAACTTTGGACACAAATTATCACTTGCATTCAAAGAATTCAAATTAATTCAATCAAATTTGGGATATGTTGTTTTGTATTTAGGTGGTATGTTGTTTAACTTCAAAGGTTAATATTTTTTTATGTATTCCTCAGCTTTACAACATAAATAAGGCTAACACAGCGCTACAGATACAATATATCTGCAACACTAGTTGTTTAAAAAACATTTGAAATCCCTTCAAACAAATTAATACTTTAAACAGCCCTGATTTTTGCAACATAAATAATTTAGTGAATAACATAACATAACAATTACTTATATCATACAGATTTTTATAAGGTTATACCTGCAGGAAGTGTTCGTGCAACACCCGACTCTAAACTCCATCCACTGGGACCAATGTCATTGGTAGCCTGGATCCTAAACCGATAAGAAGTAAATGGCTTGAGGCTTGCCACTGTGTATGACATGACCTGAGGGTCGACTCGCTCTGGAACTGTCTGCCAGGGACCAGAACTTTCTGCGTATTGGACAGTGTAGTACCTGAATCACATAACATGCGACGTTTAAATCACAACCATTTATTCCACTGTACGCAACTATTAAATTATTTTTTATTTATTTAGTGTTCCATCCTTTTCTCGGACTGGGACCTGTTCATATATGTTCTTGGCAGATGATCCAGATGTGGTTTGCCATTGCCTTCTTCTGTGTGTGAATGGAGTAATTGTTGGGATGCCACGGAGGAAAACTCCGTGTTGCCTAGACCACGGCCTTGCCCAACACAAGTTATAAATTCGGGCACCGCCGGGAATCGAACCCGAGACCCCAGGATTACAAGGCCAGCGTTCTAACCGCTAGACCACCGTGGCGGAACTATTAAATATAAGAAATTAGACTTACAAAATCTCATACATTGCTTGTACATTACATAATTTGATATGTATTTATATTTATATCCTTCATACATAATAATATACAAAAATGTGAACTATTTGAGAAAAGGGTATAAAATTCAAAGAAATATTTTACACAAACTAAGAAATATGAATACACGGAACACAAGGAAATACAGCATCTTTCTTCTTCCGTCATCTCCAGTGCTCCAGGGATCACACGTACCTGAGAGGTGAGAAGCCATCACGACCTGGTGTCCAACTGAATGTAATCTGTTCACTCTGAACTTGGCTCGGACTAATCTGTGGCACAGACGGAGGTTGTGGTCGTTCACGATTATTTGTAGTAAACACAAGTGCTCTGGCTGTCTTCCCCCATCCTAAGCGGGTCTGAGCTGTGACAGAGAACATGTAGTATTGCTCCGACGATAGTTCCGTTGCCCTGTAAAGAAAAATATGATTTAATTTAATTAAAACTAAACTATATCACTTGAGAAAAGTACATATTGTTTTGGTCAGAAAACTTGATGTAAAGGACCACTTGGAAGAACAGATATATAAGAGAGGATAATATTAAAATGGATCTTAAAGATACAGGGTATTAGCTTCTCAAAAGGTCTCTGCTCCATGGCATTAGTTAACTGACTCCATGAGCAAAGTTTTTCTTAAAAAATAAACAAAGATGATCACCATTCAGAGAGCCAAAAAGATTCTGCTTGTTCTGTGGAACACGAGATGTCATTACCTAGTCAGTGAAATTCCACGTGTACAGAAATGTGGATGGAAGTGGAGACAAAACCAGAGACTCACAATCTGGAGCAAGTCCATAAAGTGTATCAGTTACACATATACACACTTTTATATACAAAAGTGAAGTTTGTAAGATTTCACTTACCTGTATGTTCTGTCTGAGGGTGGAAACTCACGAGAAAAGTTGAGATTACTGTGCATACGTAAGTGATAGGTCACACGATACGCTAAAATTTCTCCATTTGGTTCATCTGGGACGTCCCATATAATGCGAGCAGTTGTAAACGATACATCTGGAAATGATACATTTGAAGGAGCTCCAGGAGCTGAAAATAAAATAAAATATTTAATATAAATTACTCAATCACAGTATGGAAAATTGAGAATTCTGCTTGAAAAACTAAACTGAGTACACATTCAACATTTTTCTTTTCAACAGTGAATATGAACACTAACCTTAAATGAGCGAATTCTGACACAAATTACTCGAAACTTTATATTACGAAACATTACACGGTGACATCGATGTATTTATTGTTTCAATACACCTGCTACTAAGAAAATAAATAATTAATTAATTTACCATCTTCAAAGGTCTGAACACGAACAGGGGGAGTGCTAAGGGCACCATCTCCCAAACGAGTGTAAGCCAAAACCTGGATGTGATATTGCACGTATTTCCGCAGTTCAGTAAGCGTCGTGGTCTGCGTTGCATTATTCGGAATGTCTTTGTACTGAAACATATAATATGAAATAATTATTACACAATTAATGCACACCAGTTTAAACCAACAACAAAACAAATGTATTCTTCAAATGGGATCCTTATTTAATATATTAATGTTTTATGACATCCTTACTTCCTACATCACAAATATGAAAGATCTTTATGGCAGAAAATAAAGATAATTAAGCAGATCTATTAAGACCACGTAACCTCGAGTGATGATTAGCTTCATCACACAATAACATTATATGTAGTGTAGTATCTGTACTGCTGATTGCGTTGCAAAAATTACATTTGTATCCACACTATAAAAAATATCAGAGGTAATAAAGAATTCAAAACTGTAAAAAAAAATATATAATGTATTTGAAAAATGGCTGAGTATACCTTTCCATATTCTAAAGAATAAATAAATTGCAGGTAGTGATTTTGAATGTGACTTGTACAGATTCAGTATCGCAAATAGCAAGCCAATTCTTCTATTTGATTAAAATTCAAAATATTATTCAAAGCTTCAGTTAGTTTTAGAAGCAATTCTAATACAGGTGTCGTAAACACTGAAATGACACTGCGGCTTACATTTTTCCTAATTTAAATTAAAATAGTTGGGAAATAAATATGAATGAAAAGAGGGGGGGGGTACAAAATGGAGAAAGGCGAGAAATAAGAAAAGAGCGTAAAACATACAAATATGAAACAAATAATTCCCCACTGAATTTCAATGGGCCTTCCCCACTAGAAATGAATATTCAGGAAATGATATTTATTTGTTCTCAGAACAAAGCTGGATGCTGAACTATGCATATCCCATGAATACAAAAAACAACATACCTGGAAGGGCAACCTTAGATTAGATCCATAATAGACTTTGAACCCTTCAATCTGCCCATTCTGATGTTCCCTAGGCACATCACCCCATTTCACTACAATTGTTGTAGAAGAAGTTGCATTTGCTTCTACACCCATTGGTCCAAATGATGGAACTGTAAGATACATAAAACAGTGTTCATGAGATGTAAAAACACAAAAAATAGTCAAAGAGTACACATGACTTGTAATGAAATCCAGCACAGCGCATTTTTAAAACGCAGGTACTTTTCTCCGGTTCAGTTTGTAATACGACATTTTGCAGGCGAAGTCAGGATAATTAATTTTTGGAGGGGCCCTTGCACTTACAGATGCAAGTTATGCGAAAACAAATGATTTCTTACTGACCGAGAGAGAAGAAGCAATAAGCACCTCTGAAATGTACACGGTACAACTTCCCAGGAGATAATCGTCTTTAAACTCACCACCAAGAGGACATGAAATCTCACATACCGAATTCACGTGTGCGTTCCAGAGCTACAGGACTTGACTTTGAGCTGCCCACATCATTATATGCCTGTGTAATAATCTCATACTGGGTAAATTCTTCCAGATTCTCCAAGATGTGAGAATTAGCCGTATGGTCATCTATAGTCACGCTGCGCCACCTTCCACCACTTACTAAACCGCCTGCTTCTCGGTACGAGATGTTGTACCCTCGAGGGTTCCCAAACCACTCCACTTGCTGCAATGGCTGAAATGAAGCAAAAATTGACTGCAGGTAAGTATTTTTAATAATCATACAATCATTACTACGTACTCAAAATACAATTATGAAACATAAAAAATAAAATATATTAATGGGATATCCATGCTGGAAGATCAGTGATCATTCACTTCCGCCTGGTTCCACGATTAAGACAACCGCCCCCCTAATCCATCTTCGCAGTGTGGCGCTCAGATTACGCACAGGGAGAAATTTATTTTTAAATATCCAAGCAAAGGCCCACTAAGTACACTTACAATCCATCTCACGCGAAGTTCAGTGGCACTCATTGCACGGACTGTAACGTTATATGGGGGATGGGCTGGAGGTGCCTGGATGGTCTGAAACTCCTTGGTGGGCTCTGAAGGGGAAGAGGCTCCGACCACGTTGTTGGAAATTATCCGTAGCTTGTACAGCATAAATGGGACTAATCCAGTGACAGTCAGAGTTGTGGCATCTGGGTCCAACACCTCAAACACTGGGACCCAGGTCGCATTTCTTGCAGTCCGCGCCTGAAAACATCGTGACAGATAAGATTATGGGAGTACAGACTATAGCTTAGCCCTTAAGGAATCATTATGACTTATTTCAGTACATACAAATGTTTTCTCATTGATCTCAAACATAATTTTGGTTAACTACCTTCAAATAAATTGAATATTACATATCAGTTCATTACTCTACACTTCAATAACATCATCAGGTTTGCTACTGGGTTTTTAACATCTTAAAATTAATGTACAATCTGTAGCAGGTACAAACTTAGTGATTCTTTACCTCAACTATCCACTTAGTAATGGACGAATTCCCATCAAAGCCAGGTGTGAATTGCAGAACGACAGAAAACGCTTCAATATTAGTTACAGCTAAGCCAGTAGGTGGCTTTGGCAGAACTGGCTCAATGCCTGACTGTATGGTGGCTACACGTGCCGGGCCCAATCCCACAGCAGTTCGAGCGCTGACCTCAAACCGGTAATGCGTCGTTGCCTTAAAATGCACAGGATATATAAATAAAAATTAGGACAAACACAAAATACTAATTCTGTTCTGTTCTTACGAGACAGGCACCACCTACGCCATACATATTTCAGATCACAGTATCTGAAATAATGATCACTAAACTTCAGACATTCAATGTCGAGCAGTAAACACAAACTTAACCTATCTAAAATGCAACAAGGAATAAGAAGACTCCCATATTTGCTTCACATAACCACGATATTAAGAAGATCTGTACAAATAGTAAGTTCAACATCTTGTTTAGATGCAGAACAAAAATTGTTGAAACTGGCTGAGAAACTTTCTCACAAAGACACAACAGTAGAGGCTACAGTACATCTTACAACACAGTAAAGCACAATTTAAAATGTTTTCATTACACAGCATTAAATCATAGCCACTGATAAGTGGCCAATAAAAATTAACATCTGCACTACAAATAACTGTTACCATACCTGCAGATAATTAACCATGACGCTCAGGGTCTCAGACGTAAAATTCTCTTCTCTAAGTGTTTCTGGCTGATCTTTCACCATGTAAGTTAGCTGGTAGCCCAACAGAATACCATTGATCTGTTTCGGTTCACTCCATATCACTTTTACTGCACGATCGCTGATATCATCAAACTGAAGACTACCAACTTTGCCTGGGACTGTACACGATGAAAAATAAATCACATTAAATCATACACTGTGTTTGCTTCCCCCCTCCCCCATGAAACTTTTTACTAAACTAGAGCAGAGCGCTCCTTTCGGAGCTCCTCAGGGGGTTGGTGAAGTTTTTAAAACGCAACCAACTCCCCCTTGTTGGTTGAGTTTTACAATCATGTGTAAGAAACTAAGCCAACCCTGTCTTACTCAAGTCATTTGTTTACTCGGCATTGTTGTGTTGGTACAACAATGCCAAGTAAACAAATATAACGTGATATTGTTTGATGACGTCATTTTTTGACGACAACGACAAATCACAAATTTTTATAGTAGATTTTTAATTTCAAAGGGGCAAACATACCCTAATAATGTAGGAGAACAGGGAGCTGATAAAGAGTGTTTTAACCAAGACAGAAAAATTTGCATAAAGAGGACTGCAATATTTTATATTGTTCACCAAATATTATTTGGGATGAGTGACACATGTAGCATATATGAAAGATAACAGAAATGCATATAAAATTTTTATGAAAAGGCCTGAGGGGTAGAGACCAATTGGAAGAATTAAGAATGTGAAAATATTCCCCACAATCTTATCTCTCTGTCTCCTAGAAGCATCCTTGATTCCCCTTTAATTCTGATAATCAATTCAACAACAAATATCAGCAAAATATAAATCTTCATACATGATTAAAATACACTGTAAACAAAATCTTACCATCCTCATTGGTTCTCACTTCAACGGGCTGACTTCGTATGCCATCGCCAGGATCAGTGAAGCACAGGACAGTGATATTGTAATCAGTAAACTTCTCAAGGTCAACCATAACCGCACTCTGCTCCGCTAATGGGTCTAGGAGACTAGGGGGCACCGTCATGGATCGTGCCTCTCTCTCTGCGGCCACTGGATCATCTGTGACAATGCGTTATGAATCGTCTCATAAGTGCATCATGAGTTCGTTATAGTATTCCCCGGAACCTATATAATTACTGCGGCAACTCCCAGAACACGACGTACATTAAAGTTACTACCGTACCCCGTGTTGGGTGTGCATTACTATGATTCTCATACCTTTCCAAGCTTGTAATTTGTATCCTTGGTTGATTCCATTAATCTTCTGAGGATCTGGCGGTTTCCACCAGACTTTCACTGCTGTGGAATTCAGTGGTTCTGCGCGAAGATTTACTGGCGGAGCCTCAGGAACTGGATCACAGACGGCACAATTACAACTAAGATCAGTGATGCATTACGGCTCTACGGATTCTGTTCTCTTTCATTATTCAATTTACACAGCTTTATTTCAATGTAACAAGTTGAAGGGAAAAAAATAATAATTAATATGTACAACCAGATGACAAATTATACAAAGAGGCTTACAATTACTTCGTTGTGTGTGTATGTGTTCTCATGCTTAATTTCAGGGCACTTTTTCATCTATTTCCAACACAACCCTACATACCTCCTTCCCTAGTTTTGATCTTCACTCCGTCACTGAAGACTCCAACGCCCATTTTATTATATGCAGCAATCTGAACCTCGTAGTCTTTCCACGTGATCAGTTCTTTAATTAAGTAGTTCCTCTGCGCCTGAAAATATGCAAGAAAGAATTCAGTTTTACCATTCCCATAATTTAGCTTCTTCTATATGGAACAATATAATTCTTAATTACAACTCACATACTCAAATTATTTCATCAAACTCCTGGACGGCAAATACAATACTTTTAGACCTGATCTGTGAAGAAAGGTATTGTACCTCATTCGTAATATTTCTGCTTGTCCAGGGACTCTCCATGTATCCATAGAGACGGTAACGTATGACATATCCCAAGATCTGACCATTCCTGTGTTCTTCCAGTGGGGGCTGCCACTGAGTGATGATTTCAGACGGTGATCTTGCCGACCCAACAAATCCCACTGGAGGACCAGATGGAGCTAAAGCAAACATAAAACCTCAGACACAATGGAAACATTTTAAACTAAAATATAAATAAGTCAATGCAATTTCTGCCATACCTTCTTGCGGCAAGGTGACGGCATTACTCGGTTCTGACGGCGAGCCTTCGCCAACGCTGTTGACAGCGCTCACGCGGAACTGGTAAGACGTAGCTGCCTTCAGACTGGTCAGCAGTACCGAGCGCTGTTGAGCAGACACATTGCTCAATTCAGTCACCCAGTTAGGAAGAGGATCGGCAATAGGGCCTGCCAACATAATTCAAACACGTGATTGGCAACAGTGTAGAAATCTGGAAGTCGTTAACAGCCAATATTTCACATAAAATAACAATCACAAAAAGAGTACTTTCCTACTTATTACATCAAGAATTCCTCATTTTTGATGTAACCATGGTTTCTTTCAAATGAATCCAAAGCAAAGCCCTTCCGTTCTAATAAAGTTAATGTGTAATATAGCGTGCTTTTTATACATTCTACAAATACTGAAATTTAGGTATCCAAATTCTTTTATATATACATACATACGTATGAAGTTGCTTGTACAAAGGATACAGTTTACATAAATGACTACGCAGCAATCATGTGACAGGTTTATACGATGTGGATTTGCTGCCAAAACTTCAGAAAAAGTGGGTTATTTCCTAAATTAACAAAGCTGTGTTGGTGAACCCGACGAAAGCATGAAAAATGATGCAAACTCACAGCATAAGGCCAGTGTTCAAACTGCACCACCATTTAACATATATCATTATTAATATGACGGAGTCTCTTTGTTCTGTGGTAAAATCTGTCACAAAGATGCCTTAAAAATTATTTTTATTTTACTGTTTTCAATCCAGTCTGAAAACTGGGCTCGCAACTATTACTACTAGCAGACATGCACACTAAACTTCAAATAAACGAGGAAGTGATACAAACAACACAATAAAGTGAAATTAGGACAAATAAATTTTTCATACATAATAAACATCGATGTTCCCATTTTTCAGCACGTGCGTGTTTGTATGCCATCTCATTTTCCTTGTTGTCTACACTTGTCTCTCGCTACTACGAGTACGCAACACATAACTAATTTTCCGTAAATGCAAAACGTTCCGGGCCGTGAGCATCCAAGTCTACAAATATCAAGCGCTACAACTATATTCAATATTACCTTTATTTTTGCACCATATAAATGTTTCTGTGAATAGAACAGAGAAGAAAAAAAATACATAAATATGTGTTACCTAGGTCAGACACCTCTCGGCGCTGCACAATGAACTTTAGAGTTGGACTATTGCCGTCAAAACCTGGTGTCCAGCTCACATTCACAGTCCTATGAGACACAGATTCCAAACGGGTAGCATGTACATTCACTGGGGAAAATGGAAGCTCGATAACACTAAGCCTGGCCGAACGAGTCTCATTTCCACCGGCGGACGCGACAGCACAGGAGTAGTCTCCGACGTCAGCCGCACGCACGGCCTGAATCTCTAACGTCCCGTCGCTCTGGATGGAGATACGGTGACTGTTTCCAGTATTCAGTGCCCTGAAAATCCACGTCGGATCAAGTATGTAACTGTTTGGGAATTCAACATAAAACTGACGTACGATACATTAAATATTCTTTACTTACTCATTGTTATGATACCAAGTGATGTCAAATGGAACAGTCGGATCATTTGATACTTTACACTGTAATGTTGCTGTGTGACCCAACAAAACTCGAGTATCAACAGGTGGTTGGATGATATGCGTTCTCACTGCCGTTAAACAGACAAAACACGATATCTTATGACTTATTTCAAATTATATGCATAAGCTCAATGTCAGTCTTCTCCGTTGTCACAAAACATAGTCTGGTAGAAACGTACTCATGTTTCTGAGGAGTTTGTTGCATCCATCGACAGAGCAATGACGTAGCAAGCACATCCAAAATGTCAGCAAAATCAGACTACATGTTGCTACAACGCAGAAGCCAGATACCTTCATATTCACAACTGTGAGAATCTGAAACCTTACTAAACCCAAACAATTCAAATACAAGTCCGCCTATGAGAATCTCAGTCACTGTCGATATTGCATGATGGTCACAAATTCCGTGCCTTTCCCTCACCTAAGACCGTCAAGTATGCTGAGGCATGCACGTCACCCGCCTCATTAGCGCGAACACATGTGTAGAGACCGGCATCACTCTCCTTCACTGCGGCAATCAGAAGATCACCTGGATCCAGCACCTGCAGACGCCCTGATGCCTCGACTGCTTTGTTATCTGAAAAAAGAAACCCCACGGGCTGTCTCCTCAGGACACCTGCACTACTTATGTAAACGGCTACACACGCGCACGTAAGTAAATGGCATACCAAGTGCACGTTCTTCAAAGACTGATGTAGACAAACAGAAATAACTTTATCACGTGAATCTGAGGCTACTCTTCCGTTCTTTGTTTCCATATTCTAACCACAGAAACTCATTTTCTCCATAAATAAATACAGATATAATTTTTCAATTCAATTAAAATTTTTAGACTAATTTTTGTCCTTACATTCACCCTCTGATTTAGTACCAGTAAATAATAATTTACTACTAATGTCATATTCTTAAATCTACTTACACGCT